CTTTTGGGCTCCCAACAGGTGACAGGGTCGGATTCACAAAAAGGACAAGACCCAGGCATTGTGGTGATTTCTCAGCTTTGCTGTCTAGCAGACCTTGCGTATAATTGTGGCAACGTCTCAGCAACAATTCTCTTGGTTTTTGAGCTAATTTGCTGGAGGAATAAATATGCAAGCAGAGTTCCTTCACACTGCTCTGAACAAAGACCCTGAAGGTGTTTGTTCTCGGTACGGACTGAGAGAGTCTAACCAGGAAAAACAAATGAAACAGAGAAATTATGGCTGGGCCTGGTGTTTAAAGCGACATCCAGGTTGTGCAGCCTTGAAAGGAGCAAATCTGCTTTTCTCACTTGTGATGCAGGGCTGGTGGAGCTGTGGCTGCAGAGAACAGAGGCATCATTGGAACAGAACCTGTATTTGTGTTATTGCCACACAGCCTGAAACCAGGCAAGTTCCTCCTGGCTCCTTGTGGAGGCAAAGCTGAAGGAAAAGTTAGCCCAAAATTTATGATTCTATAAGTTTAGAAATTGTTGGATTTTTGGGGAATTTTTAAAGCAACTTTCCTTATAGGAAATCAGTAGTAGTGATGGGTTTTCCCCTCAATACCTGGACTTTTTTCCGTTCTGGAATTTCAGAGCATTGATTTGAACACAAAAAAAATCCAAGTTTTCTGAAATTAGCAAAAGCTTTTGTCCTCAGTGCCTTTGGTTTTCACTTTCTTATCTGTGGAATGGAAACAGTAGCCCTCCATGTGCATGGAGCAGGATGAGAGGGTATAAATCAAATGAATGTTTGAGAGACACCCCTGCATTGTGCTGGGGAGAGCCTCTCACAGACAATGCAGTGATCAACAGCTCCTTCCCCACACCAGAGCCCTGGGGGACCCAGCGAGCCAGGCAGACAAACAGCAATTAACAGTAAGAATTAAATGAAATATTGAACCTCTGCTCATTGGGTGAATTGCATTATCTTGGTGTCCAAGACAAAGCCCAGGTTCTGAGTTAAAAATTGCAGGCATGTGTGCAATGCATGGGGAAGAATCCACTCACACAAGGGAGCCCAGACCAGGCTCTACTGGAAACATTCATTTTGCTGGGTAATAACTTTAAAGTGCATGCCTTTGCCACCTTTAATTATATATTACTTTTGTTTTTTCTTTTTTTTTTTTTTTTCTTCCTGGGCATATTTAATCCAAAGTTACAATTACCTTTGGTGATCACACACAATTTTTGTCTGGAATTTAAGCAGTGCCGGGTGCTGCTCGACAACCGCGATCACCTCGCGTTTGTTTCATTCGTATTCTCCCTCAGAACAACAGCAGCAGTAAACAATTCCAGCTTAATTACCCAGAATGTGTTTGCACTGCAAATAGTCTCCTCTGCTCTCCCATTCTTGCTGTGCTGCCACCAGCCCTGAGCAGGGAGAGCAGAAACAATTCATGATGCGGGGATGGCTCCAACAGGAGACAATGGGTGTCCCCTGATATTTTCTGAAAAATCCCTTGGCCAGGATTCCTTCTCCTGGGAAGGTGAGAAGCCTCAGCTTCTCCATGTTTTGCTGCTCTGGAATGTGATTTGGATATTTATGGTTTTGACCCAATCCTTCCATATTTTGTCTTATGGACCCATGTTATAGTGTAAGCTTTTTAGCCAATCGTGTTATGGCCCACAAACCTACAGCGCTGCACCCTAAACGTCTTGTTATCTTTGTAACTATTTTTCTTCTATATCTTAAACTCTAAAACTCTAAAATTTCCTTTACTTAGTTTATGTGTATCTATTTTAAACTATAAAGTCCACATTCTCTCTTCTAGCTCCTAAGTTTGGGAGCCTTTTCCAAGGTCTCAGATCAGTGTGTCATTGGCCAATAACTCCTCAAAAGGCTTTGTAACTGTGGGTCTTGTGACCTTCTGAGCCATGCAGTGAAGGTGTGAGCTGAACTCACCCTTCCTGCCTGTGCAGAAGACAAGAAAAACAAATCCCACAATTAAAACCAATGCAGAATCAAATTCCTTCAAAATTCCTCCAGCCAGCAGGACCTGGTGGGGTTTCATGGGGCTGTTTTGGTCTGGGTGGCTCCGGAAAAACCCAAGCACTTCAATCACATCCCCCTATCCATCCCTCAGCCTCCTGCAGCCCTGCTAAGGAAGGGAATTCCAGGGGTAACTAATTCCAGGAAAGCTGAGCCAGAGGAGCATTTGGGGATTTTTCAGGGTTGGGCAGCTCGGGGTAGTTTGTGTGCCTGCCTTCCTCAACGTTTCAGCTCAAGTGTTTATTCTGAGATAAAATGAAATATAGTTATAACTTTAATTTCTCTGACAAGCATAAATATTTTAATCATAACATTAGATAATATTATGAAAGCATAGGAGGAATCTTTTCTAATGAATGCCCTAAAGTGCAGCTCATTCTTCTGTAGCACATCACAGGGAAAGCCTGTCATTTCAGCATGGAGCTTGTGAGGAACAAAACCCTGCCTGGTGTTATTGCAGCTGACCCAGGCAGGGTCTGACAGCACCTTTCCTCCAGTCCATACAAGTTACAAACTGCCTACATTAGGTGAAATGAAATGAAATTAAATAATTTCACAATGAAATAAATAAACAGAAATAAATAAACAATGAAATAAATAAACAGAAGGAGTGGTGGATGGCTGATTCAGAGTTTTCCACACAAACCCAGATAAAGCAAACTGCCTACATTAAGTGAAATGAAATTCAATAATTCCGCAATGAATTAAATAAACAGAAATAAATAAACAATGAAATAAATAAGCAGAAGGAATGGTGGATTGCTATTCAGAGGTTTCCACACAAACCAAATTTAAGTAAAGCTCCTGGCACTGTTAAGCTCAGAGTCAGCCCAGGACAGAGGCAGGAATTGCACAGAGGAATTGTGGCAGTGGCTGCTGCATCCACAGGACAATTGTCATCCAGGAGCTGTAAATAAGGAACATTTCACCTCAGCAGCAAAGTCAGATATTGACCCTGCTTAGTCAGCACAGCAATTTAAATATTCACCCATAAAACAACAGGGGTATAAACAAAACAGATTCTGAAGCTGGAAGGGAATTTCACATTAAGGAAAAAATCCAAATAGCATCCTTGGGAGGGGTGAAATTTAACTTGCAGGAAACAGATGTATCAGTAAAGGAGTTTGGTTTTTAATTATAAAATACATAATGGCATGTTTCAGAAACTTTAAATAATTATTGACATTTCACACCTTTGTGAAAACCTGCTGGTTTTTTAGTATTTCAGATATATACATTGAAATACGTGCAAATTGTTGCCCACAGAAATTCTTATTCCAACTCACCAACTAATCTGCTGCTGACCAAAAGCCAGTTTAATCCATGCAGGGATAATCTGTGAACTCTCTGTGAAAAGGAGGAGCCCTGAGAGGCCCAGGTGAGCTCCTGGACATGAGGAAGAGCAAAGGTGGAATTAACACAAAGTTCAGCAGTGATCCTCAGTCAAACCTGGGAGGGGAAAAGAAGATTAACTTCTGCAGAACCAAAGGGATGGATCTCAGATCTGTAGAGTGAAGACATTCCCATATAAAATTTGAAGATGGTTTGCTGTCACAGATTTAAGTAGTGTGGCTTGATGGTGTAAATTAGTTAAAATCCGTGTCCTGAAAATGTCAGATTACGTACACTCTACACCCTGCAAATCTTGTCACTGCCTGCTTTTTCTCCATCTGATGCAAAGCCTTAAAAATATGGATATGCTGAAATGCACAGACATATCTTAAACCTACGCAGAACTTGTACCAAACAAGGGTCCCAGAGTCTGGAAGGGAAAACCGTGGCAGGTTTTCTTAATCTGTTTTGATGTTTCTCTATCAACCCAATTAATTCACAAAGGAAGGGCTCACACAGCACGTGTGAGCAACCTGCTCTCTAAACATCTCCCCCAGAAGGAGCTGCCTCAGAACTGCTTTGGAAGCAGCGATTTTAAGACACTTTGGGTTTTTTTTTTTTACAAATTATATAAGAACACGGGACCATAAACAATCTCTAGTAAATACTATTTGGAGATTTATTAAATATAATGAATAAGCTGCTTAAGAATTACTTTTTGTCTCCCAGCTGAGTTGCAATGTAGTGATTCCTTCTGACTTCTGCTTCCTTGTGAAGAGCAGCAAAGCAAAGAGCAGCAATTAATACTGTGAGGAGCAGAAATCACAAAAGCTGGTCCTTTTGTGAGTTTATACATCACTCCTGATTTATTCTGCTCCCTCACATCTACAGCCCATCCCTTTTTAATTCCTCAAGCTCCATCTGCCTCGTTCCCCTCTCTCCTTTTTCCTGCACTCCCATCCCGTTCCACGTGTACAAACGATTTGGTTTTCTCCTGCTGAGTGGCATCTGCTCTGCTTTGGTTTGCAGCTCCACACTCAGGGAGGGTTCAGCTGCTGCTGCTCCACGGCTCAGGAGAGGCACCAGGATGTTTTCTGAACAATCCCTTCGCCAGGATTTTCCTCCTGAGAAGCCTCAGAAAAGAAATGTAAACAATAATTATCTGATTGCCTGGAATGTGGCCTGGGGGTTGCTTACAAACGGGTGCATCTTTAATTGGTTCCATGTGAATTGTTTTTAATGAATGGCCAATCCCAGTCCAGCTGTGTTGGACTCTCTGGTCAGTCACGAGTTTTTGTGATCATTCTTGTCTAGCCTTCTGGTGTCTCCTCGCTCTTTCTTTAGGATAGTTTTAGAATATAATGAATAGAATATAATAGATATAATAAATAAAATATAATAAATATAATAAAATGTAATATAATTAATATAATAAATACAATATAATTAATATACTATTTTATATAGTATATAATATATACAATATTCTATTCAGAATGATATGATATGATATGATATAATATAATATGATATAATATAATATAATATAATATAATATAATATAATATAATATGATATAATATAATATAATATAATATAATATAATATAATATAATATAATAATCAGTCTTCTAAGAACTTGGAGTCAGATTCTCACCTCTCACCTCATCCTGGAGACCCTCACAACACCAGAGCACAGGAGAGGCAGCAGCTCCAGACTGATGACCAGGAGCACAAACAGCCTTGGGACAGTTCGTGGATTAAAAGAGATGAGGAACAAATAACAGTGATCAGGAAGCTCTGGAAAAGGTTGTATTATACGTAGAAAAAAAATCAAGATAAAACACTAATTCTCTTTTAGACAGCACACCTCTAGTGACTGACTCACAGTGACATAAACCCACTCAGGCATGGGCTAGAAGAGGATGAAAAGAAAAGCACTCCTTGGTATTTGTTTCCCTGCATTCATTTTATCCATGATTCTCCACACTTCCAAGTGACTGAATGGGAAGGAAGCTCCCCCTCCTGCTTCCACCTCAAGGCTGCTTCCAGCCAAGGGTTTGAGTGTAACCTCAATTCCCTTCCGCTGTGATACTCACTTGAGTCACACAAGCGGGGCTGGAGCACTCACTGAAAGGGACAATTCCAGCTAAAATATGGCATTCTCTAAGCCAGGATGACATTCCCAGTGGTTCCCTGGGTTGATACTTTGGTCAGAGAGTAGAAACCTTGAAGCCCAATAAAACAAAATATCAGCCCTGAAATAAAAGTAATGAGGTATTTGAAATCTGCAGAACGTTTTCCCTTGACTTGTAGGTAGCTCAATGTTTACAAATTCACATTGAGTTGTGTTTTCAGAGAGAATTATAGAGATAATCCATTTTTCTTCATGCTTATATTCTTGATAGGGGTTTTCAACTGAAGTTACAATCAAATCCAATAGACTACCTACCTTATAAAAGCCACTTATTTTCCACATTTTCAGAACTAGGAATTCTGTCTGAATACCAGATGCAAAATCAGTAGAAATGCCTCTTTAATGATTGCCAATTGAGATGTGTTCAAAGTGGTTTCAATCTCTCATCTGCAGCCTGGCTGCTCATTCTGTTTGATACTAGCACTGCATGACTAAAATTTACAGCAGGTTGCTATTCAGTGGAATTCTAGCAACATTTTATTGCTCTTGAACTCTATCAGAATTAACACCCACTTGTGCTATTAAACTTCAGAGATAGAAACATTATCTTGCCTTAAAGTCAGTGAGAATTAAATAATACACAAACAAACAACCTGCCATTTGAATATTGGAATAACATTTGAATATTTTCTTGCTGCTGAGCAGAGCTAGAGGGATTGTGCTTGGGTTAAAAACGTTTTGGTGCATGCAGGGGGGACAGGGACTCATTTTCTTGTTGGTGCTGCCTCACTGAACGAGGGCAGGACAGAGAGGTGGAAATTATCCCAGATTTGCTGTGGCTGCCCCTGGATCCCTGGAACTGTCCCAGGCCAGGTTGGACAGGGCTTGGAGCACCCGGGACAGTGGAAAGTCACCCTTGCCATGGCAGGGTTGGCACTGATGTGGTTATTTTGGACTGATGGATTTCCTGCTGCTTCTTTTTATTCTTGGTTCTTGCTTGCTGCACATCCTCAGCAGAGGCACTTTAGGGTAAATGTTCTACAAAGATTGCTACATTTATACAGCCTTGTGAAATGATGTCTTACAGTTTTCCCATTTGTAAAATATGTGATAAAACTGCTCATATAAATATTTTGGAACCTCATTGTTCGAAAGCATTTGTTAATCTTTAGAGGAGCCTTTCTTCCCATCACAGATAACAGATGTAAGGGACAGGAGGCCTTGGTGCTGATCTGGTTTATCTGCAGTGAGCCTCCTTCAAAAACTATTTTTGAGGCTTTAAGGTCCCTCCCAACCCAAACTATTTCAGGATTCCCTGAAATTTAATTTTTCCTGAATACAAGACACATTTTCCCTGTGACCGTGCTCACAGGGGTCTTATGTTGAGGGAAGAGATGAGGACCTGACTCCATGTTTCACAAGGCTTGATTTGTTATTTTATGACATATATTATATTAAAACTATACTAAAAGAATAGAAGAAAAGGTTTCATCAGAAGGCAGGCTAAGAATAGAAAGGAATGAATGATAACAAAGGTTTGTGGCTCGGACAGAGAGTCCGAGCCAGCTGACTGTGATTGGCCATTAATTAGAAACAACCCCATCAGACCAATCACAGATGCGCCTGTTGCATCTCACAGCAGCAGATAACCATTGTTTGCATTTTGTTCCTGAGGCCTCTCAGATTCTCAGGAAGAAAAAATCCCAAGAAAAGGATTTTTCATAAAAAGATGTCTGTGACATTTCCCATTCCACCCAAGGGCAGAGCAGCCAGATTCAGGTGCCAGCCCCATCTGTGCCAGGTAAAACCTCCAGAGCAGCAGGGCTGTCCCAGCAGGGCAGCAATCTCATCTCCCAGCAGCAGATTCCCAGATTTCTCCCTCCTGCTTTGGTTTCCCACGCCCACCTCCTCTGCCCAGGGATATCACAACAGAAGCAATCGCATATGTGCTCCTCAAAAATGGTTTTTGAAGGAGGCTCACTGCAGATAAACCAGATCAGCACCAAGGCCTCCTGTCCCTTACATCTGTTATCTGTGATGGGAAGAAAGGCTCCTCTAAAGATTAACAAATGCTTTCGAACAATGAGGTTCCAAAATACTTATATGAGCAGTTTTATCACATATTTTACAAATGGGAAAACTGTAAGACATCATTTCACAAGGCTGTATAAATGTAGCAATCTTTGTAGAACATTTACCCTAAAGTGCCTCTGCTGAGGATGTGCAGCAAGCAAGAACTAAGAATAAAAAGAAGCAGAAAATCCATCAGTTTAAAATGGATTATATGAAATAAAGAAATATTTTATATTAGTCCCCACCAAATTGCAGTTTCTGGAAAAAGTGGGAGATCAAACTGAAATAATTGATATTGGTTCAAAAATGTTACTGGAAGGAAAAGCAACAATAATAACAACGTGGTTTGGAACTGCTCAAGAATCCAAATTATCTGGGTTTGTTTCCTATTAGAAAACCTTAGAAATTCAGGTAATTTCCTTTAATTGGTAGAGTCCTCCAAAATAAGCAGTAACTGAGATTCTAAAATTGTAAAACCTAAATTCCAAAACCTGTGGAGGGAAGGCACGTGTAGAATATTACCATGGAGTTCAGCTGGGACCTGTGCTCTGTGAACAAACATTCACCAAATCTTTTCTAAATTATTTCCATCTCCTGTGGAAGGCTGTTTCCTAAACCAGAATTCCTCATTTCACTACATTTAGGTGACAATGCCCAAATTCTCCTTTTCTTCAGCAAAAACTACTCCCTTCAAAGGAATGGAAGGGGAAAAACAGCAATGGATTTCCTTCAGCAGAAATTTCTAATGCAAGTGCTACAAAACATGGTCAGTACATCAACACTTCAGCGTTAATAGTGGAACAGTTTCTCAATCTGACCTCAAAAATACTCCATTTCTTCAAAGTTAATAAGAAGCAAATGATATTTTGGGAGTTTCTGTAACTTGTGAAAGTTTTTATACTCAGCACTTTAAGCAAAATTTAAAAAAATAAAGACACAGTAACAAAAATATACCTGAAAATGTCTCCCAGAGCTTTGCTAATAACTGTTCTAGAGTAAATTAACTGACTTTTTTTCTATGTATTTAACAGCTTCTAATTCAATCTGTATCAGTTTTCTCTGTTCTCTAAAGGCAGATTGGTGTAGAAGGGAGTTAATTATCTATAAATACCAAACAGCACCCAAATAAAAGGGATCATTATTAACACCCAGGGAACAGCTGGGCCATTTGATGAATTGTTTTGTTTCTAACAAAAGGAATTCATCATCCATTCCCTAGGTTGGAGAAGGATTTTCCCTTTACAGCTGTCCCTGAAATCTGAACCTGCACCACACACGAGGGGCCAGCAAGGGCCAAAAAGGAAAGGAGCTGTATTTTTGTAAGGATGGATGAAGTTTGGGTTTAATTGCATCAATAATAATTTATTCAGTAACAACAACACAAGTACTGACAGAGATGAAAGAATTGGTATAGGAATCACTAGGTTGTGATGGGGCTAAAATGGTGCTGGATGATTTTTTACTTATCACCACCACCATAATTTTAAAATTATGACTTATTTACTTTACTGACTAAATTTAGAGCTATAGAAAAATATTAGAAAAGTGTCTGCAGAGAGCAAAAGTCTTATACTTCTGTTGAGGTGTGGTAATCTTGAAATAGAAGAGATTGTATGAAAAAGCAAAGCTTGAGAATTGAGTTTTCCAAGAATACCACACAGCAGTCTGCCCTTCATTTTCACAAGTGATTGATCATGTAGAAATCTGATGCTAACTTAAAATTATTAAAAAACAAACTGTCCCATCAATAAAAAGTGGAAGCTTAAACCAACATAAAAGAAGTTATCAGAGTTTTAATTTCCTATGCTCACTGATACCCATCGTGGATGTTTTATGTATGAGATCCAGCACACACTCCTGAAAGTGCACTCCAAATCCAGATGTTGTATAGGAAATCACATTAGAAGTTATTTAAAAATACACAGAAGTCATAGATCCAATTAACTGCCAGATGTTCTGAGCCATCACCACCATCAGAACTTATTAAAGATTAATTTAATTCCTATTTGATAAGCTGATGGAGGACTGTGCTCTCCTGGCTTGGGCATCAAACTGAGGGGGAATTTCAGATGATCTCACCCAACCAGGAGCAGATTTTGAATTCTTTCCTGGCCTGAGCTGTGGAGCTGAGCTGCAGGAACCTCTGTGCTGTGGAGCCAAATTTCCATGATGCCCATCACAACGTTTGCTGTCCTCGGTGCCAAATTGACTCTGTGCATTTGGCAGAGGGAGTCCTGAATAAAGGGTTGTTAACTGAATTCCAAGCTACAATTTCAGCAGAGAATATAACGATTTACCTGGATCACTCAGGGAATGTGAGCAGTTTGGTCACAGAGTGCAATCCCCTCACACAGAATCGCTGATGTGCAAAGCAAATCTTCCCAAAGTCCCAGCAAAGAGGATCCTGCAAGGCTGTTGCCAGGTGGGGCTAAACCACAACAAAAACTCAAGCAAAATAAAAAGTCACCGTATTCCCTTGGACTTCAGCTGTCACAACGCTTCCTAAATCTGGAATTTGTTCATATGGAACTTTTCTATGTCTTTTGTAACAGACTGAGCATTTTCAAGTTACAGGGATTCTTTTCAGACACAGAAAGCCCTCGTTGCTGGATTTGTTCTCAGCAAAATTTGGCATTGAAAAGTATCCCCCATTCATATAAATACAAAGGTGAAAATTAGAGCCTCTTATGCCTTGTGTCCCTCTGGAATTTGTAATAAACATGGATGTGAATATGAGGAGAGAATTTCAGAGGTCTCACTTACCAGTGAAGCGCATCAAACACTAGGAATTGTCACAAGGAGACTTTTGATGGAGTTTCTGTTGGCAGAGGAAAGATCCCATCACTCCATTGTTATTCCCAGTTTATGCCCAGAGCTCTCCCATGTGCCACTGAAGGAATTCACCCCTGAAAAGGACAAGGTGAAGGTTAACAGAGCCATGTGAGGGGATTTACTGTAATGTCCTTACAAAAACACCCTGTGCAGGTCGCCCCAACCAAGCAGGACCTGCAAACAGCACCTTGGGTTGTCCTTCCTGCAAAAAAATCCCATACAGGTATTGGAGGGGAGAAAAGAGGGGAAAATATCCCAAAACAATCAATTTTAAGGAACAACATCAAACTTTCAAACCCTTAAACTGTGCCACTGCAGAATCAAACACACTGCAGCAATCCAGAGTATATAATATTTTTAAATTGCTCTCTTCTTTTTGGTACCTTCAAGATTTTCATAATGAAGATGCAATTTTCATCCCATATTGTTCCCATTATTGTATCTTATCTGGATGAAATATTGAATTGTAGGACATGGCATTTATTTCCCTTTATCAACATCAACGTTTTTCTAGACACTCCAACCTGTAGAGAACGACTGTGGAGATGACTGAGTGTGATTGCACTCACTCCTGAAACCATTTCACATACAATTGGAAATGCTAGTTTTCATTCCAAAGTGAGCTATAAAATTATCCTTTTCTTAGGTTGGTATTCGATTTTTGAAACTTAACAGAAGAAAAAAAGAGCTTCCTAATAAATGACCTTTCCCTTTCAAACAATCTGCAAAACCTGAACAGATTCAGCCCACGGTGTGAGGTTCACCTTTTAATTCACATGTTTAATTACTCATTATATTATTACTCAACTTTCAGAGCTGTAGACTTGAAATACAATCCTAAAGAGGTTTAATCAAGCTGTAGCTCTTTCCTTGCAGCTCCAGTGAAAGGTGCTGGAGTTTGGATTTGGGATTTCAGGATTTCAGTCCTGAAGCTGCTCTGGATGTGCTGATGGAAATCAGGACATCAGGAATCACTGGGAAAACCCCAGACAGGTGGGGCAGCTTTAATTCCTTTATCCCCAACTCACTTTATTCTTTGGAGTTTTGTCAGCACAATATATTAACCAGAAACTAAGGGGAAAAAAAATGCCCGAGGCAAAAACAATTTGAAAGCTCAGAAAGCAATAGGAAAATCAAAATTTTTCTGCCTCCCTAGTCATAATTATTGAAAGACAGAGTTGGGTAACAACAGGAATAAAATGTGTCTGCTGGTGGGGCACAGCATCAAAATCCATCTTGTGTCCTACATGTCACAGAGCATCAGCTTTGACTCAGCTTTTCAGTTCAACCCACTCTCCTGATATATCCAAAGTAACTCTCCATCTACTGGCATTTCAGAATAAACCAATGTACTTTGAAGTCTAAAGCTAAATAAATATATTTAGAGTGCTTATTCAGCTAATTGTGAAAGAAAAACTGCACACCCCACACCTATTCCCTCTACATCTATTCCCTTTACACCTTTACATGTATTTACATCTTTATATCTATTTACACCTTTACATCTTTTCCCTTTTTGAAACAGGGCTGACTTTGTTGCTTAAAATCTGTGCTGTCTGAAATTTGTTCTCTCTGAACACAGAGTGGGGCCAGAGCAAAAGTGCTGCCCCGATTTTTTAAGATTTTCTAAACTATCTGATGTTTACATTATTATAACAAATTTTCTCACACACTTTCTGTAAATAACTAACTGTTTTGCAGTCTTTTATGGAGGAGGAGAAATTTGATGGACTGTTGGTTTGTCCATTGGAGAGGTGGCACTGTCACTTTTGGAAATCTATAAATGCAAGAGTCAGAAATTAAACTTCCCTTTTTTACCTTGAAAACAGCAGTGTGTGTGTGTTGTGTTATTTCCTATAATGACACAAAACTCCTGCAGAAACAAAAAAGTCCCCAAAAAGAAACAAGCACAAAGGATTTGATAGGAACACCTGAGGATTGATGCTGCTTCCTCCCCAGCCTTTCCAGCACTGAAATGAACACGGTTTTATGGCATCTTCTTGCCAGTCTCTTTATTTTCCCCTCACTAATTCAGTGATTAATTTGAATCCATTAGCTCATTATATGTTTTATGTTGCAGCAGCCCCTTGCAGACTCTGCACAACCGTGTTTTGTTCTGCGTCATTATAAAAACGTCTATACAATTATCAATAACTTAGCAGCAAATGGCACGTCAAGTATTTAATAGATAAAGAGGCACTTAGATAAGAAAGCAAGCACAAAAATCTATTACATTTATTTGCTTAAAAAAATGCCACCTTGAAGTGGAAGCTCCATCTTTCTATGAAACTAAAGCTATTTATTATGTTTAAATGTGTAAATGTTCAGACATTACAGTAGTAAATGCATTAAGAAAAATATAAGGAAAATATATTTGATGTTGCCATTATCTGTTCATCGGTTGGTATAGAGGGAATTTGGAGAATAATTTTTAAAAGTCTACTCCATTTGCATTATGGTTCATTATTAGCAGCTAAGAATGTTACATAGCCTTTTAATTGACACAGAACAATGTCTTATTTACTATTTCTTTATCATAATAACGCCCAATTTGCCTGATTTTCCAACTCTAAATTAAGTAATATATCAAAAATTATTTCAATTAATCCCTAATTTGAAGTCTCCAGGTAGCACTATTATGAGATTAACGTGATTAATTGAAATCACCCTGTTGTTAAAAATCCTCATTTCCACAAGAAACAAAGATTTTGTGTTTCTCTTTGTGGATTCTGCAGTTTAGGCTGCTCCTGAGACCTCTGGAGATTCCTTCCCACCCAAATTCTCTGGCTTTGTGTTAAATGTGACAATGAGAGATATCTGGGAAAATGCCAATATATTAAATTCAGAGTCAGCAAACAGAAGAATGCAAGGAGAAATGGGAACTCCAGGTTGAAATTCAGACAGGAGGAAAACCCAAAGAGTGAAGTGTGTAAGAGTGTCAGAATTATGAGATGACAAAACTTAAACTGTTCACATTTCTATAAAGCTCTGTGTGCATTTTGCAAATCTGACATTTACAAAGTGATAAGGAACTGGAGGCAGGCTAAACTAAATTACAGAGAGAAATGTCAGACCTTTCAAAAGGAAACCCCGAAGAATCCAAGCAGCTCCACCTGAAGGGAGCTGAGGAAGGGTTAAATTGGGAAAATTGGGTGGCAAAAATGAATAATTCTCTCTTAGTGGAGTGATATAAGGCTGACCATTTTTAATAACACACTATGAAACAAAATGGATGTAAAATTTATAACAATATGAGGGAAATTTCCCTGTTCATTTCTTTTGAGATTGTCACAAGAACGAGGGAAATTCAGGTGGATCTCAAAAGCCACTTCAGAGAAAATGTTCAGGTTCTTCTGGATGTATAAACCATGTTCAGAATGCAATGTAAAGCAGTAGAAATGCATTAGAAAATCTCTAATGATGAAACAAATAAGAGGGAAATAGAGGTTATCACAAGGAGAGATGCTTTGATATTCCCCTTCAAAGAACCAGCATTTCTTTCTGGAAAATTACAAAACTTCTTCAAACTTTTGCTCTTTTAAGGGTTTCCTTTTGGTTTTGTTTTTTAATATTAGCATTATTTTCACTAAAATATTTCTTTTTTGCCTCTTAATAAATCCCTTAAAACTGGTGCTTGAATAGGTTTTTGTTCCATGAGAAATATCCTGAAATTCCTTTAAATAACTTTACAGCTTAAGAAAGTGATAGTATATATGTCCATTTTTTATAAAATAATGCTTTTTGGAAAAATTGGAATTACACAGACAAAAAATAAGGCCATCCTCCAGTGAAATGAAAAAATGATAAATTAAAATCTTTTTCCAAGTCATTCCCTTCATATTTTATTTCTCATTCAGTAAATCAGCAACCCATGGATTTTCACCTGTGAAATACTGCTGCAGGAAATTGCTCAATATGAATTATAAAGAGAACAGTTTAGTTAATTAAAAGTTTGAGTAAGTAACAAGTTACTTAGACAACTAAATCCCAATTTCAAGATAATTTATCCACTTTGCCTGTCTCATGAAAAATTAATGGAAGAAGACTCATACAGACTTTAAATCACTCCTGCAGATATGCTTTGGGTGGGTTTAAATGTGCTTTACCAAAACCCATTTTTAAAACTGAATAATGCTGTATTTGTGATGTCACCATATCCTGAGCTGCTGCATTTCTGCTGTCACGCTGTGGCAAGAGGCAGCAGCCTAATGACAGCAGCTAATTAATGCTGAGTGCCCAGAACCCTGTCAAACACAGCACAAGCCTGCATCTCTGCTATTATGGATTTCATTACAATTATCTGTTTCGTGACAATTGCCTATTTAATAACAATTATGTTTCATAATAATTCCTTATTTAATAACAATTATTTTTTCCTAACAATTACCTATTTAATAACAATCATCTGTTTCACAACAATTCCTATTTAATAAAAATCATGTTTAATAACAATTCCCTATTTAATAACAATTCTGTTTAATAACAAGTCCCTATTTAATAACAATTCTCTTTCCACAGCAATTCCCTATTCCATATCCAGCAGCAGTTTCTCTCTCAGCTCTGGCAGAGCAGGTGCCAGCCAGGATAGAATTGCTGAGAGCAAGGCACAGACCCTTTGAAATGCCAAAAAAAAATCCAATAATGAGATAAATAATACCCAGGGTGCTGCTGTGGAATTAAAACAGCTCCACCCTTCTCTAGGTGTTTTATTCTGCTCTTCTGGCACGTGGGAGCTTTCAGCTGCCTTGTGGAATTGGTCACAAATAAAAACTTCCCCCCAAAAAGGAAAATTCAGGCTTTCCACGCACCAGGAACAAATGGAAAAGAGGACAAATATTATTTGAAAACTGTAAGTGCTGATAATTGTATATGAATATTTGCGAAGCATGCACAGAGCCAAGGAAATTGTCATCTATACAGAACTGATTGGAACAAATTGGTTTTCTAAAATTAACTTTTAAAGGACTTTCCGTCATGACCTTACAAAGTGTAGGGTTTTTCTGAAACATTCATTGGAATGGCGCTAGAAATTCAAATTGCATTATTGCAGAGACAGGGCAAAAAGAGAAGCCAG